GGTATTTACATTTTTGATGGTTAAGTGTAGACATCGAAGATGATTTTCGGGAGCGCGAAGATGTTATGCTGCGCGACTTCTGGTACCTATTGAGGAAGTGTATTGATTTATGTGTGCGATTATTTGTGTAGTTATATTTTGATTTAACGCTAGAATGAGGATATTTTCGCTTAATTCTTAATCTTTTGGAACACATGGTATATAAATGTGGGGTTCCTTGTTTGGATTTTTCACCCGACGTACTAGTTCCATTCGATTAAGGGTTGAGTGGGAATATAGTTATCCTGGACTGTTAAATATAAATATCCATATATGCTTATCAAGAGTAAATATTCTGAGATGTTTATGTTTGCGGGTTGAATTTGACCATCTACGTGCTTTTATAGTATTATTATTTGCTTAAGTATGATTTCTGAATTTCGAGGATGAAATTCTTTTAAGGGGGGAAGAATGTAAAACCCCGAAAATTTGAATACTTTATGATAAATAATAATAAATATGTTATACATTTATAAATAATATATTATGATGTTTGAGTATGCTAGGAACTGATTTGAGATCAATTCAATGTATATATGTATATATGTGAGTACAAATACACAAATCATGCACAAAGGCCAAGAGTGAGAATCTGGGAACTTTGACCAGTTGAGAGTTTCTATGTTTTTCTCACTGATTCATTAAGAATCTGGAAAAGTGTATAATAACAAAGTTGTAGTTCTCTTCAAGATATTTCCAAAAAATCTTAGATCACCTTATTCCGAGGTCATATGAGAAAGTTATAGCCAAAATACCAAAGAAAATGTTCCTAGTCAGACTGAATTTCCAGTTTCGGGTTTCGGGTTTCGGGTTTCGGGTTTGCTACTATATATATACATGTTATATCATGAAAATCACCTCTTTTCTTCTGTTTTACAAACCCTAGCAGCCCCCCTCTTCTCTCTCAAACCCTAGATCCGTTCTTAGAGGATTTTGGAGGAGTCGACGCGAGATCCATCGGTGTTCAGCGAAGGAGGATCATTCTCACTTGTTTTTGGGAGTTCATCTACACCCCTCAGGCGAGTAACTTCTCTCCCAACTCCACCCCCTTTTGTTTTCATCTAAAGTTTGAGTTTTTATTGAATTTATTGGGCCAAAAATCGTATTTTCTTGTAGAGATAGTAGATCTAT